CATGCACTGTGCCCCAGGCTTGAATGAGAACGGAGCCTGCTGGCACAGAGGGAGGAGCAGAGGCTGCAGGGGGACAGTTGCTTCACCTCCTCCAACCACCTGCCTCCCCACTGCTTGCCTCCCTGCAGCAATGGGGGAGCTGGATTCTACACATGGAAAATTATAACACACTTATAAATTTTACATGTATAGAAACTAACTGTTGAGGGTGGTCTTAAATTCAGGGTTAACTTAGAATTGAGTAAATATGGTACAGAGTAGGGGTGGGCAATTAGTTTGGCTGGAGGGCTGCTTAATGAGTTTTGATGAGCTGTCAAGGACTGCAAGGGTAGCCCCACCCCTTGACTGATGCCCCACATTCTGCTCACTATCATGGGACTTTTAAGTTCTGCCCCTAACCCCTGACCTTTGCTACTAGAAGTCCCTCCCCTTGCCCCTGGAAGTACTTGTTTTTGGAGGGGGATTTGCCATATTGGAACTGGAAAAAAAAAGTCTATACTAAAAATCAAACATCTACTAAAACATATTTCAATTTTGTTTCAAAAATATTTTTGTCCTGATTTGTTTGTGTAGTGTATATAGAGGTAATTGCATAATAGCTCCAGCTTGTATATTGTGGGGGTATGGGGTTTATGGGGGACTGGATGTGGGGTGTGCAGAGGGTGTGGATGTGTGGAGGGTATGGGTTTGTGAGGGGGTGTGGGTGGGTATGGGGTGTGTTGGGGGGTTGTGGCTGTTGGGCTGTGCATGGGGGTCTGGGTGCATGTGTATGGTGGGGTGTGCGTGTGGGGCCCCTTCTACAAGTATACCTCCCTCACACATGACCCCCTATTGCACACAGCCCACGGCAGGCAGAGTCCCCTGGTGACGCACCATCCCAGCAAGCCCAATGACTGGATGTGACTGGGCTGCTGGCTCCATCATGTGGGGCTCACGTGCAGTTCCTGGGTTCTCCACCCGAGCGCACACCACCAAGGGGAGCCTTGTGCGATGAAGCTGGCAGTGCAGGTTTGGGGCTTGGCTGGGGCAACAGGGAGAGGGAGCTGGCCCAGCTCCATAGTGCATAGCTCCCCGCCGTTCCCCATGACCTGCATGTGGCAGTAAGTGGGGCTGGACTGCCAGCTTTATCATGCAGGACTCCCCCCAGAAGCATGCGGCTTGGGCAGAGAACCCGGGAACTGCATGTCAGCCCTAGGGAGCCCCACACACTTGCTGGCCTAGGATCTACAATTCTGCTTCCTCACCCTGGGCCCCCACTGGCATGGGTCCCATGCTCCTGCCCAGCTGCTACTTTGCTCCTGGCTACCACTGCTTCCCTCCTGTTCACCTGCTTGCCTGCCTGCTCACCAATGCCACTGTTTGCCAGTGCCTCTCCTGCCCACTTCTGCCACTTCCATCCTCTCCGCCCACATGCCACTGCTGCTTCCTTACCTGTGGGGCCAAGGTCAGGGCCATTCCACGCGTGAGGGTGTGAGCACAGAGGGCACTGCCTCTGTGAAAATGAGCAGGGCTCAGCCCCTTGCAAGCACAGCAGGGGCAGCCTGGGGCTGGGCTGGATACAGTGAATTAATAAGCACCTGTGCACGGGCCAGATGAAATTGCCTGGTGGGCCAGATTCTGTCTGTAGGCTGTATTTTGCCCTCCCCTGGTATAAAATGATCCAGGGAGGAAGAAAAGCTGACTGCTCCCCCTTCTTACTATAGTGATCTGAGTTCTGCCTTGTCTTAAGGCTTCAGGACACTGCCAGCAAAGTTGAACTCTCATGAAGAAAATCAGTCAATATTCAGTTTGCTTGACAGGTGTGGATTTGAGTGTAGAAGTGTAGGTGCAGTTTTCCACCCATCTAACATATAGCACATTGTAATCGGTTGTGATTTTAAGCTAGTTATTCTTACTTGGAAAACTCCTGTTAAGTCTTTTCAAATGTCACTTGGACTTATGACCTATATCTAAAAATCTGATAACTCTGAAGAAGGGAAATCTGAGCTGGGGAAAGTTAATTTAACATCTTGACTTGTAGTCATTGTAATTATTTTATGTGATTGTGTGTGTGTGTGATTGTGATTCTTTTACCTATAACTGAGGAAAGTGTCAGTTAGGAAACTGACTTTTAATGGGATTATAATCTTCTGTGGTGTCGTCAGAAAATACAGCCTGTTTTCCAAATCTAACAGCTGTAATTAGTGGTACAAAAGACGTTTTGATTGCTAATGGACAATCTAGGTCCTTATGCTGTCCTCTGAGACAGGACATAACTAGATAAATTGCTAGTTGCATGCCTCTGTGATCCCCATCCACAGCTCCCTCACACTTGGTGTTGCTTAAAGCACCATTTAGTTGCTTGACAATTGAAGGTCATTCTTTCTTTGGAACTGTAACATGATTTGAAGAAGATGGAGGCATATATGTTATGCTTTAACAGCAGTGGGATCTGCTTATGTAAATCTAGTAAACTTCAGGGTGCATTTCTTATTTCTTCTTCCTTTTTGTGAGCCAGTCTTTATTTTCAAGTAAGCATATGTGTAACTTCACTTTTTATTGCCTCCACCCCACCCCACTACTAATTAAAATAAGAACAATTTTACTCCCTTTCCAAGAGAAATTCTCAAACATATGCTTGGCTTCAGTGTCAGACTTCCTGTAAAAAATAAAAATAAATAAATATATATATATATTTATAGAGTAATATTACTATAAGTATCTAGATTTTTGTTCTCTGCTTGTTTCTTTTCAAACTGGAAGAAAGTTTGTCTATCATGGCTTCCAGTTGCCTAACTACAGTAATTGTGGTCTCTGGTTGATTATCAAAAGATGGGGAAATGCTGACATAATCTCAAAGAGGATGTTGCTAGCAAGCCTGACCAGTATATATCACCTGACATCTATTGTGCAGGATTTATTGTTGTTGTAACAGATTTCACTGCTGGATTATTTCTAGCCCAAACAAGCTGCTAATTGTGGTAGCAGCGTGTTACAAGTTCAAGTGATTCTTTAAAATACTGTGTTTAAAACAATGAATCAAAGTTTAAAAAAAAAAAAAGTGGCTTTTCCAGTCTAATATTGTTTTTCAAATGTTAGAAACTTAGAGACTTAGAGAATTCATATATAATGTTTCAACTCCAATCAAAGCTCTGCCCTGAATCCCAGTCTAATCTCCACTGGGAGCAGGGGAAGGCAGCGTTTAGTCTGTGAGCTGGAATTGGGCTGGCAGCAGACTCCATTTCCCACCAAATCCTGCCTGTGTTGCTACGACTGGTTTCCATGGAGACCCCAGCAGCAGTGATGCTGTGATAATGTGGGGCCAGGGTTTCCATGGAGATCAGCCCCAGCAGTGCTGGCAGGGCACATGGCTGGGCAGGTTGTTGCTCCAGGGCCAGAGCTGGGATCTTGCAGCAGTGACTGTGTAGTCTGGAGTCGGGGCAGAACCCTGATCTGGGGTGTACAGGCAGCAGGTCACAGCTCTGCCCCAGCTTGGGACCACACTGTCACTGCCACAAGATCGCAGTCGCAGAACAGCTCCTTGCCCTGCGGCACACCCGGCCAGTGCTGCTGGGGCCAGTCTCCATGGAAACCCTGGTCTCTTGCTGTCATGGCCCTGGTGCTCCTGGGGTCTCTATGTAAACTGGCCACAGCAATGCAGGCAGGGGCTGCTGGGAAATGGAGTCCGCTACAGTCCCAATCCAGCCCACAAGCTGAACTTTGCCTGCCTCTGCTCTACATGGAGGTTGGACTGGGATTTGGAAGAGAGCTTTGATTGGACTTAGACTTGGAGAATTCATATATAAAGTTCCAAGTTTCTAGCATTTGAAAAACAAAGGACGGCCCATGGTTGGATCAGGCCTGTGGTGGACTCCATTTCCTAGCTGCCCCTGTCCATGTTGCTGCAGCCAGTTTCCATGGAGACCCCAGGAGCAGCAGGGCTGTGACAGTGCAGGGCCAGTGTTTCCATGGAGACTCGCCCCAGCAGTGCTGGCAGGGTGTGCGGCTGGTCTGGGGCTGGAATCTTGTGGCAGTTGCATCGTGGTCCCGAGCTGGGGCAGAGTTGTAACCCACTGCCCGCACACTCCTGGGCAGGGGTATGCGGGGCAGCAGATCATGCTCTGCCCCATCTCCAGAGCACACGGTCTCTGCTGCAATATCCTAACCCTGGCCCCTGAGTAGTTCCCTGTCCAGACATGTCCTGCCAGGGCTGCTTGGGCCAGTTTCCATAGAAACCTGGTCTTGCGCTGTCATGGTGCTGCTGCTGGGGTCTCCATGGAAACCAGCAGCAGTGATGCGGGCAGGGGCTTCTAGGAAATGGAGTCAGGCCACTGGCCGGATCCATCATTTTGCCCACCCCTGGTGTAGAGGGTAGAAAACCTTTTTAATTCTTCCGGAGATATGAGTGTCCCACCAGTTTATGGCACTACATTATGTGTCTCCTGTTGTTGTTATAATGGAAACCAAATTACATTGAAATAAAATAATACGTGCCCAGGCCCTGAGGTATCCTGGGATAAGCTGCTCATTTTTGTCCTTTGCATACCCTGGTGGAATTTCCATTGGTGTTGCATACCATGGTATGTCTGTCTTGTTCTCTTAGAAGCATGTTTTTGTTTTTGCCTCTTGTTCTCAAACACCCATCACTTCTCCAATTCCTTATTTGCTGCAATAGATATTGCTAAGTTCTATACCTATGTTGATTTGTCCTTTCAAATGACCTCCAACAGTACACTATGCATGGAACCAGAAAAAATTAATGTGAATATTACGAAGCAGATTTTTTTTTCCTGTTCTGCATTGTTTTATCAAATCATAATAATCCATATGGACCCCATGCTGCTTATAAAAGGAAGCTGTACTGAAAGGTAATAATTGCCTCTGACATCTAAGCTTTCTAGTTTCATGACGGTGCCAAAGCTTTCTTGACATGTTTGAAATTATTATCTAGAGCTGTATCTGAATAGCTAATAGAGGTTGAAGACTAAGAATTGTAGCTTATTATCTTTCTCTGTCTTTAGGTACAACAAGTACCCCAAATGACTTGTGGTACAACATAATTGAGTTGCCTTACCATGGTGAAATGATCAGCATGTTGATCGCTGTGCCTTCAGAAAGTACTACCCCGCTGTCTTCTGTTATTCCCCACATCAGCACAAAAACGATAGAGAGCTGGCGGACGATCATGGTACCAAAAAGAGTGCAGGTGACTTTGCCCAAGTGAGTACCAGCTTCTTCCAGTTCCCCCTCTCCTTTTCCATACTCTTTAAAACAGGAAGAAAATAAAAACCCTCACATAATAGCCCTATGGAAGTAATAATTCCTCTGTTTCTTATCTGATTCATTAAGGTTCACAGCAGAAGCAGAAACAGATTTAAAGGAGCCTTTGAAGTCTCTTGGCATCACAGATATGTTTGAGCAGGCGAAGGCCAATTTTGGAAAAATAACAAGTAGGTGGTCTTGTTTTGGTTTTCATTCCTGTTTTCTTGCCATTGCAGTTTAATGCAATCTGTTCCATAGATTATCCGTTAAAGGACACATTTCTAAATTGCTACTAAGTGAGAAAGAAACGATATTAAAAGTCTTGTACATGCCAGTATTTTCCCTTTTTGTTTTAAAGAAAATACCTGCATCTTGGCAACAAGTAATATTGATTAAGTGCTTGTAAACTGTTGTTTGCTATCACTAATTAAAGGTCTCTCTCAGTGGCTGAAATGTGGAAAGTCTTCACTGACACCATTGGAGCAGATCATTAACAGAAGATATAATTAGGACAATTTTTCTTCTCAAACGTACATGTTTTGGAAACTGTTTAAACGAGCTTGAGACAGGCAGGATGTGCACCAAACTTATTACTCCATTCCTTTTACTCGGTGACCTTTTTTTAAACTGCTTGATTTCATCCATAAATATTAGAGCTGTGTGAAATTTCACCGGCTGTTTTGATTCAACACTGTTTCAACTCATTTTGAGCTTGAAACAGCAAAACCGAATCAAAATGAAGGGCTTCAAAACAGCTTTGAAACAAAATGAGGCCAGTTGAAATGTTTTGAAAGTTTCAAAGCAGCCAGATGGTGGGAGACAGGAGAGAACTAGGGCTGAGCTCCCAGCGGCTCTGCAGCCCCATGTGGTTCAGCCAGGAGCGCAGCCCTGGCTCTCCCCACCTCCCACGGCCGATCACAGCGTAGGGGAAATTCCCATCCCCAGTTCCAGGCGGGAGCACCCGGCTTCCCCCCCCTCACCTGGCAGGCTGATCGGGGGCCCGCAGCCCCGGGAGGACTGGCAGAGCCCCTGCAGCCCTCCCGGGGTTGCAGGCCCCCATCTGCCTGCTGGATGAGAGAGGCTGTTTCAAGCTTCCCCATTATAGCATGTGGGTGAAACATCGAAACAGCGTCACTGTTTTAATAGAACAGTGGTTTTGAATCAAAATGAAATTTGAAATTAAATGCCGTTCCGTCGAAACGGAATGGTGCTGTTTCGCATAGCCCTAGTAAATATCTATAAAAATGGAATATTGAGTTCTTAAAAACACTGGTATGAAAATAGGTGTCTTACGAGTTTTGTCTGTTGAACTTTGATTCATTTTCAGTAGAAGCAGAAGAACTTGTTTGTTAACTAGTATCTAATGTGCACTTCTGCCTCTGTGAAATAAAGGAAAATTTTATTATTGGAAGCAAAATGCTTTTTTCATATAATTTGTAGCATAATTTTAAATTCATACTGAATCTCATTGCATCATTTCATTATTGAAAATTAAAATAAACACTTGTAACTTCAAACTATCAAGCACAGTCTAAGGCTGTATTGGTCTTAAAGATTTTTATAGTGTTATTTTGGTGTCATGTTTGTCTAATTTCAGGTATGATGTCTATTTCCATGTGCATATGTGCACATGCTTTATATACACATCACAATGGGCATGTATACACAAATGCTGTAGCTGACTTAACTACAGAACACATAACATGCTATTGCTAATGCAGATGATGAATAAGAAGAGTATTGAAGACTTCAGGATTGTGCCTGTGTAACATGCATCAATCGCTTAACCCCAGGACAGGCAAAATGTTATACAAGAAATAATTAAGCAAAAGCTGCATCAGTCCAGTCCATTCCATTCATTTTGTATGTGTAGCATGTTTATGGTTTTGGTATGTGCTGTTTTTATGGTAGTCAGATCACGCACTGCATTTGAAGAACAGTAGCAGTAAAGTCCTTTTGCATTGAGCAGGATTTCAGTCTTTGCAAGAATTGTAGTGACCTTCAGTATCTCAGCTCTCTGCTTTTACAGTTGCTGAGCTATAAGAAACTAGTTACTTTGATTTGTTGTGCACAGTGTAACAAATATGTAACTGTCTGTCTTTGTTTGCACAGGAACAGAAAGTCTTCATGTATCTCAGATTTTGCAAAAAACAAAAATTGAAGTTAGTGAAGATGGAACCAAAGCTGCTGCAGCAACAAGTAAGCAGATGTTACTGTAATTGTTCACCTTAAACCTTAATTAAGAGTGACTTCACATAAACAAATTGGTTTTGACATTAAATAAGTATCTTTTTCCTGAACTGATAGAGTAAAACCGTTTCAATAAAAGCAGCACGATGTGAAAGGACTGGACAAATTCAAGTTAATATTATCATTTGTTCTGTAGCATTCAGGCTTTTAAAAATAAAAAGACTGAATGTTTGGCCTTGGCGCCTTTTACCATTTTGCACGTGAAAAAAGATGCAAGGTCCCTTTTTAGATTCCCATGACCATACCTGCAGGAAAAAAATCTCTTGAATGTTAATTGAAAACCTAGAACAGTGGTCACCAACCAGTGGATCTCAATCCACCAGTAGATTTTGGAGCCTCTTCCAGTAGATCTCGGAGTTTATCCAAGGCTGGGGGGGGGGTGGTCGAGTGCCACATGCAAGCACATGCGCACCCTAGCCCAGCAGCTCAGTCCATGGGGGAGGGAAGGGGCAGGGGCTAGATCGAGGCACCCCCACAGTGAGGGACAGTGCCACAGAGGCAAGAGCAGGTGTAAGCTGAGTGGGGCCCTGGCTGGGTGGGACTTACTTGCTGGGGAGGCGTACCCCCAAATAATATTTTCTAGATCTGTTCCCTTTCCCTCCCCACAGACTTACCTGCTGGGTGGGGGCAGCAGTGCATGGTAGATCTTGGGTTGTTTTTAAATGCCAAAGGTGATCTCCTACTTAAAAAGGTTGGAGGCTACTGATCTAGAAGAATAGCGTAGCTTTTATTGAAGATGTCAAAAGTCTCAGTAGATAAGTGATAGGAGTTTGTTGCTATTTAATCCAATGCTGACCATTTGTACTATAAACTTCATAAAATGGTACCTTATAGAGAATTTGAATGTCTGTCTGTCTAAAAGTCCAGGCGTGCATCTAGTAAGCACCATAAAGCTGTCAGCTTCATTTTCACACTGCTTTAAACTGTGAAGTGTTTTGCTTTTTCTAATTACGCATCCTATTTTTCTTGCCAGCTGCAATTTTAATAGCCAGGTCATCCCCTCCTTGGTTTATAGTAGACAGGCCATTTGTATTTTTCATCCGGCATAATCCTACAGGTAAGCAGCAATTTTACTTCTTTTTATAATGTGAGTATACACACTATACTGATTTAATTACAAAGTGATTATTTGTCACTGATTGGTGACGAGGCTAATTTATTTCCAGGAAGGAATAAATTAGTTTATTCTACCTAGGAATAAACTTTTTTCCTATGGGTACTTGTAAACTAAGCTAGCGCTCATATCTGTGACCTGGATTACCACATCTGTCTTCAGTGTATTTTCACATACCCCTCCAAGGTTAAGGATATTACTTCCATTTTACAGATGGGTAATGGTGTTGAACAGAGGTTTAGTGACTTGCCCACAGTCATGTCAGAAGCCATTGGCAGAACAGGGAACTGAATCTGAGCCATTAATGGTGTAAGCTTCATGTCCTAAACTCCCTCAAGTAAAAGTTTGAAGACATAGCCACTAGGTCTGAATTTTTATGGTATTACAAAATGAGTGCTGAGATGGGTCAGCACCAGTTGGCAAACTTCAGGATGTTTACTAGCTCACTGCTTTTTCCCTTTGATATGTGGGAGGTATGTAGCTATTGTGGAATAAGTTGCAGCTGCCATCCCTGAGGAAGGAGCAAACTTCTGACAGCAGTCTCCAGTCCTGAACTCAAAAGAATCAAAAGACCTCCATATAGCTCTGCAATATGACCACTTGGCTGCTTATCAAACTACACACCTCTGCTTTACTTCTTTCTCTAGTTCACTGCTCTCTGATCCTTGTCTTTCACCCTTCCCAGTCAGTAATACAAATGTAATCCTAGTCCTAGTTCCTGAGACAAATGTCTTGCTATAAACCAGTGATTCTCAACCTATTTGCCATAGTGGGCCACACTTGCAACTTTAAATGCATTATGTGGGCAGCACTCACACAACTTACTTCCTGGGTATCCATTAAAAAAATGTTTTAACAGGATGTCGCATGGGCCACAGCAGCGTGCTGATTGAGTCGCATGTGGTCTGCAGGCCACGAGTTAAGAACCACTGCTATAAAAGATGACACTCAGGTCTCAGATGCTAGTCATGCCCCACATGTGCTGTCTTTGCTCCAGATGGATGTGTCTTAATGAAACCCTTACATAGCTACAGTCATCAACACCCTCTTTTTTGACCATTCAAATGTACATTTTAGGTTTTCAGTCTTTTTTTAAAACTTGTTTTTGATACTGAAAATTATATCAATAAATAAGATTTGTATTTTGTTTGGGTTTCATCTAAATTCTTCCTCTAAAATCTGAGGAAGATACGTGCTTTGACCAAAACCAGTCCATATTCAAATCTGTAACTGGTGCTGAGGTTTGAGGAGGATAGCTGTTTTACAAGGGCATGTTAGTAACGTGTAGATGTCTACATTAGCTAGTAACCAGAATTATCCTGTAAAAACCCTTTAGCAGTGTAACATGCTTCCAACCTCTCTGCAGTGATTCTGGAGTCTTCTCTACAGTAAGGGTATTTGCTAATGGCAGTTCAGTCCCAGCAGTATTAGCAGCTTTGAGAAGACCGATGCACATAAGATCTGGATGACTAAAAGTGAACACAGCATTTAAAGGGAGGCCCAGGAACATACTTAAACGGACAAAAGTTTAAATGCAGGACATTAATAAAGGGGCTTGACATGGGGATAAATAGAAAGTCACCCTTAATTTAATTTTATAAATTCCAAACTCTCATATAAGCTAATGTAAAATTCCCTACTACTTGCCTTCCCCTTTTGGTTACGTGAGACGGGCATCGAGAGGGTAGATGTTGGAGGGTGCAGGTACTGGGGAGGGGGGGAGTTGAAGCTGCCTGCTCTCCATGCTGCACTTCTTCTCCCTCCTCTCCTCCCTCCCTTGCATTCTGCACTGCTTGCTCCCTTCCTGCTGTTCTCCCTCCACAGTGGTGGGGAATGACAAATTTAAAACAACCCTCTAAATAATTAGATTCAAGACATGAAAGCCTATAACAAACTTAGAATTTTCCATAGCTAGAATCTAATTATTGGGAGATTGTCTTAAAATTGAAGTTGTTTTGGATTCAGTTAAATATGGTACCTTGTATTTGACCATATGTTGTGGCTATTAAATTATCCAATGAAAGATCAAAGATTTGCAAAATGGATGTGTGTAGTAATTTTAGTTTTTATTTTATCCTTCAGGTGCAGTCTTGTTTATGGGACAAATAAACAAACCTTGAATGTGGAAAAGGCTTTCTTTTAAGAAGCAAAGTAAAGACTCATTTGATACATCCTTGTCTTGTTAAATATTTTTGTACACTATTCTTTGACTTCACACATGAACTAGTTTTTAAGCGATTGACTAGGTTTTGAAAAAGGGGTCATCGTAGTTCTGGTTTTGTGGAAATATACCGCTTGAAAACTACAATGCCTTTTCAAAATGTCTAAAAGATTCTTTAAACTACTGAATGGTTACCTATGCTAACAAACTGTTGGAGCTTTTTCTTTTTTCTCTGAATTTTATGTATGGCTTTTGTGAGAGGGTTTGAACAAGAGTGTGACAAAAAACAATGTCTGTTTAATAATAGTGATTTATTTTTTCTGTGGAAAATGTTTGGTATGTAGATGCCCTTTCAATACTACTTTTGTTCTTGAGTGGCTTGGAAATTGGGCATCTTTTTGGTAGAAATCAATGAAAAATTCTAGTAGTGTTTGTTTTATATAATGCATGTAACAGAGTTTAAGAGGACTAATGTCTTGAAAGTAACGCATCGCATTAATGTCCTGTTTTACTGTAAACTTGTCATTGCTAGTATACACTTTCTATTGGATTCAAATTTTATATTTGTTTTTGTACAAAGGAAAAATAAACTGCATTATGAACAGTCAAATGTCGTTGTATCTCAGTGATGTGCTGGAAGGCATGTGTAGCAGAACCCTAGGGAACCACTTGTTAAAAATTCTAATGCTGAATTGAAAGGAAGAGGCTCATCTGATGAAGCTTAACCTTCTTTGCAGCCTGCCAAATCATTCCTGTCATGGATGACTTATCCCTGGGGATAATGGAGATGTCTGAGGAGCAAGCGCTTCTGTTTTTTCAGGGTTGCAAGTTGCATCTAATATGTATTTTTAAAAATGCACCTGAGGAGATGACTACAGTGGGCCTTACAGTCGTCTTGCTCCAAATACTGCAAATTAAAGTAGCTCTAAAAGGAAAGTAGAGTTGCGCCTTATTAGCCAGCTAATTCAGACATGTATAAGCTTTTCTAACTTACAGCTCACGAGCTATAGCATCTAATGAAGTGAGCTGTTGCATTTGAAAGTTTATGCATCTCTGAATTAGTCTAAGGTGCAGCCCTATCCTGCCTTCTGCCAATTTAAGACCAACTTAGCTAATTACCTCTCTTTGCTCATGGATAAAACATGACCACACCCTGAAAATATTGTTCTAGAGCTGTGTGCATTGCCAGACTATTCCAAGATAAACACTTCTCCCTAGGTTGGTTTGTTGCCTACTGATATTTTCTGACTTGCTTGAAAGTATTGAGAATACTAGATCTGCTTTTTTACCTGATTTTGTATACCTCAAAAAATACCCAAAGGATTCCTTTGGCCCTATAGACACTAGGCTGTCTGTGCGCCCCCCCCAGTAGTTAGGTGCAGCTCTATAGTTACAAACCTGCCTCCACCCATGCTGTGTGGGGAAATACAATTCTACTTCAGTGTTCTGAAGGAAATTTGTGTACATATTCGTACATATTTGTGTACAATGCTAGCGTCAGGTTTTAATTTACCATCTACTGCTTACTGACATAAAGGAGCTATTTTGCCCAAACAACTCATGTAGTTGAAGGAGTAGAGCACCAGGCTAGGCTCAGGAGACCTGGGTTCTCCTTCTACCTCTTCTACCTTGCTGTGTGACCTTAAACAGATGACCTCCCCCTTGGTACCTCAGGTTCCCCATCTATAAAACACATTATACACTTCCTTTGCAAAGTACTTGGAGACCTACTACTGAGAAAAAAATCAGTTGTAGGGAGGGGAAGCAGAGGGGGAGGAAGCACTGGGATTTTCCAAAGGAAAAGTTGTTATCAGCAATCTCCTGGATATGAAAGTTTATCTCCTTATAAAACATTCAAAGGTGATTGGGGTAGTGGTGCAAAATAACTCATGTTTAAACATAGCTTTTTAAAACCAATTTCTGTCTTCATTTAGAAAGATGTTTTTGTTCATCTGCTGAACCCTGTGCAAACTTTTTTTCCCCCCAACACTTTCAAAAGAGGATTTTTGTTCTTCATGTTTCTCAAATCTTATTTAATTTCTGAAATGTTCAGACATCTTGTAATCCGGACATGCTGTCAGCTGGTCCTGCTTAAGTCCAGTTTTAATTTTAACTTCTTAAACTTTACCCTTTTTCAATCAGGCCCAGATTCTTAGTCTGCAGAAATTGATGGTGATATTTGGCATCCATGAAGCCCTTCCTCCCCACCAGCTGGAGAATTTCCAAAGGTTTCTTTCAAAAATGGTGCATCTCATGGCATTATACTATTAGACTCAGTCCAGTAAAGAGTGAAGAGAAGAGCTTACAACAAGAATGGGCAAGGACAGTGATTAAACAGATGGAATGCAGGTCCCCTTGCTCTCTATCTACTGAGCCTCCTGCCGTGATTATGGGTGTGGAAATTATCAAAACATGGAGCATCCAGATATTCCTTAGCTGTTGCGCTAGCACTCTACAGTGTGTGTGGACCAGTGAGGTTTTCTATGTGCTAAGTGGAAACAAGCCATGGACTGTGAGAGTAGTATCTTTTAGTTAGTTCCTTTTTAGATTACCAAAAGTACCTCAGTATTTGGTGGTTCCTAAATCTATCTGCCCTTGCAATGGTCAGGTTCCTTGGAAAATCTCATGGGTGCTGGTTCAGTTGTTTAGTGCTATGCCTGATGCTCCCTGCAGTTCTTACAGGTTTGCTGCCTGCTTCCATAACGTTCTGTCTTAGTTCCTTCGTGAGTTCCTTCTCTGAGCGACCAGAACAGAGTTTATGTAATAAGATGAGACCATTTGGATGTTTTTGTTATGAAGCTTCCTGTCCTGGGCCATGTAAAATCACTTAATAGTAATGGGCCAGATTCTTTCCTGTGCCAAGACCTGCTTCATTTGCATGGGTGGGTGGGGAGATGACCTAAGGGGCTTATTGCACCTCCTTGATTTCTGTAGTTCCAGCTTAATTTCCCCCTTCAAAAATACAAAGGTGGCTAAAAGAAAAGCCCGCTCTGCTCCTTCTCTGGGATGGAGGGAGGCAACTGGCACTGGACCTAGATCCATTAGCTTCTGGCAGCTGCCCCAGGGGAGTTTTCAGATGAGCAGTTACAGCGTGCGTGCAGGCCCTTTTGCGCAAAGGGGTCAGAGTGGATCTGGCCTTGGGAAATGCAAAAGGGGGTTTGAGATCCTGGGAGCTGAATTGTCACCAAAACTTTCCAAGTTAAATAAGTGAGACCTGTCCTGTTGGACAAACTTGAATACTGTCGTCTTCTGCCTGACCCAGGTACTTGGCTTTCACTCCAGCCTTGTATCTCCACCTTGCCAAAATGTCTGCAGTAGTAACAGGGTGCTTGATTCCTTTTGGCATTTTCATTTCAATAATTACTCTTCTCTTTCAGGTTATACTATAAACTTTTAATTTTATTTTATGGTCATCGGTGCCATCATATTGGTTCAGTCCAGTTTGTTTCCTGTGACTTGGTTCAACAAAAAACTGAACTTTCAGAATGGGAGTGATCTTGCTGAATGGGATGTCACTACAGCTGACTACTTGATTTACATGGGATTATTCACATGTGTAAAATTAAACACGTACCTTAAGGTTTGGTTGGAACCAGGACAGCTGTTGGTAGTGTAAAGTGTGAAACTCTTCCAGAAAACTACCTTTTGTTGGAAAGCCTCTTGAGACCTAAGCATATACAAGGAGCTTATGGAATCTGAATTTTTTTGCTCTGCATTTTTTCAGTTTGTCTGTCAAAATAATGCAATTTAAACAAAAAAAGTTTTACAAAAGGAAGGTTGAGCATGAACA